TGTAGCTGGAATTACAGGCATGTGCTACCACGCCCGGCTGATTTTTTGGTTTATTTTAGAGATGAGTTCTCGCCTGCCCAGGCGGGTCTCGAACCCGCGGGCTCAGGCAATCCACGCACCTCAGCCTACCAAAGGCACGGGATTACAGGCTGAGCCACTGAGTGGTTGCACATCCTTTCTTAAGGTGGCATCTGGTCTGGCATACCCAGACAAGGGCCTCTTTGCCCTGATGGATGGTGGCTCTGAACAATCCGACGGTTTGTCATAAGCTCTGCTCTCTCAGGCAAAAGCAAACAACTGTGACTAGCTTCCCTGAGCCCTTCCTAGTCATGGGGAGTTGCAGTGTTCTTCTCATATACACGAAGGAAAAGTAATTACCCAGGCAGGCTCTGGGGGTTTCTAAGTTGCAATATTTAATTCATGAGGTCAGAGCTGCCAAAATCTTGGTTGGTGCAGCAGCAAGAACAGCTGGGAAGGCATCTGGGGTCAGAACAGATCAACAAGACTTCCCTGGGGGAGGAAAATGGTCCTGGTGCACATTTACTAGTTACTCTATTCCTTATACTAGGCTCTCCCGAAGCACAAGGGACTCCATCAGCTCAAGACCTTTCTAGAAGCAGACCTCCCCTTCCCTCTGGCTTCAGGGCACATCCTCTTAGGGATCCCTGGAGTTCCTGCCCCTGGGCATTATCTGCTCTTTCCATTACCTGGTACATGATGGAGGAGGGTGGAGGCTCGATGCATGGTTGTTGGTCAGGGAGTGGCAGCTCTTCGAGCAGGTCCACGTTGGACAGGGCATCTTCCAGGGTGACGTGGGTGGTCATGGCTGCAGTTTCTGTATTCTGCACTGAGGGAAAGGAAGAGAGGGACAATGGAGAATTTCTTTTCTTTTCTTTTTTTTTGAGTTGGAGTCTCACTCCATCGCCCAGTGCAGTGGCACACTCACAGCTACCCCAGCGTTGACCTGCTGGGCTCTAGTGATCCTTCCGCCTCAGCCTTCCAAGTAGCCAGAACTACAGGTGTGCGCTACCATGCCTGACTAATTTTTTAATTATTGTAGAGATGAAGTCTTACCAAGTTGCCCTGGCTGGTCTCGAACCCACAGGCTCTGGCAATCCACTCGTTTCAGCCTCCCAAAGTGCTGGGATTACAGGCTGAGCCACCAAGCCCGGCCAAGAATTTCAGAAGCCTCCAAACATTTCTCTTAACCTCACGGGGTCCAGTCTCCTTTTGGAGAGTAAAGGGGGTTAAGATGCATTGAGACCACTGCCACTTCTTCACGAGGTGTCCCCAACCTGTGCCTTTTGTCTGTGAGGATGTCTTTACAGCTAACAGAGTACTGTTTTGTCTATTAACCTGGCTGACACTTACCCCAACCCTCTGTGATCAACACGGAAGGTGGTATTCTTCTCATATAACCAGAGAAAAACGAGGCTCACAGAAGTTACATGCCACCCACACAATCACATGACCAAAGGCAAAGGACCTCAAGGGTTGCTAGACGTGAGAACACAGGTCACAGTTAACCGCCCCTCCCCCCCCGCTTTTTGTTCTTCATAAAGATATTTCTAAGTTCCACTCTTAAATTACTGCACGGCATCATTATCCATGATTGTGATAGCTAAGACAATCAGCAGGAAACACAAGCCTGGGTTTTTAGGCTGATTGAGCTGGGACTAAAAGAACCTGTGAATCCAGCTTGGTTTGCAAAGATAGAAGTGTCATCATCTTCCTTGGCCTGGGTATGGTTGATGAGCCATACCAAACAAATCAGCCCTCAATGAACATTCTTGCGCCTAGACCCTGGCACAGAACAGCTGCTTCAGTGTAACTTTGGCAGACAGGGAAGCTGAAGAGAATTGGAACAGTGCAATTACCCGACTCGAGCTAATTGCTATTTTAAGAACTCAGCACCCAGCAAACATAATACCCTTTTTTAAACATATGTAAAACACTGATTAAAAATTGATCATGACTTAGGCTATAAATCGTTCCCACAAGCTTTCTCCAAAATGATAGCTTAGAAGTCACATCATTGATTACAATGCAATGAACTTGAAAATCAAGAGTGCAAATTACACCAAAAACAAAAACAATACCTTACCCTTTGAAAATTTATCAAACATACTTCAAGGTGATTCATAGGTAAAAAGAAATTCAGTATAGATGTGATAAAATATTTAGAACTGATAAAGAACACTCATAAATATCTTAAATGCACTTAGTAGAAAATAAAAAAAGAAGGAACTTAATGAACTTAATGTTCTATTCAAAAATCTTAATGAACAAAAACCAACCCAAGATATGAGAATAGAGGGAATGATCATTACAAAAACAGAAATAAAGCAAAATAAAACACAAATAGTAGAGGTGAAAAACAAAAAAAAACTTTAAAAAAGATTATTAATAATAATAAAGTCTACCCTTAAACACACACAAATAGGAAGGGGACAAAAAAGAGGCACCACTGTGCTATCTCAGAGTCCCTCCTTCCCCACCCTGAATCCCAGGGAGGTGTGAGACAGGCCTAGGGACTGGAATTCCTTCAAGACCAGCCTAGGGAACATAGTGAGACCTCATGCTGCCCCTAAACTAATACTTGTTTTAGGTTGGGAGAGCAGATAGGCTGGGCCATCCCTCCCACTGAGTTCTAAGCACACCTTTGTGTACTACAGCGACATGGCCTCTTCAAAGAGAGCTCACCAAGCTCAGAAGTAACTAACTTCCCCTCTGCTTCCCAGGGTGGTCTCAGGCCTTCACACCTAAGCATCTTCATCTTCTCTCCCTAGAATTCCAAGTGTGGCATTCAGTTCTACAGCAAAACCACTAGCAAATCATTAAAAAAAAAAAAAAAGACTGTCTTCTTTCTTAAATTATTATTAAGTCCATTTTACAAGAGAGGGTTAATGATTTTACTGGGCATAATGATCTACAACCGCCAAAGCTCTAATAATCTCTTCATTATTTCAAATAACAACAACAAGAATGAAACAAACATTTTTTCAGCCCTTATTCTGTCAGACCTTGTGCCAAGCACTTGACTGTTTTAATCCTGCATCCACCCTATAAATGTAGTTACTATGATTAGTCCCATTTTACAGATGAGCAAACAACTGCTCAGAATTTAAGCAATTTCACAAGGGGAAGAAGTGCTGGAGGTTGGGCTGACCCAGGTATGCCCAGCTCTCTAGTCTGAGGCTGTCTTCACTACCACATATTTCCTCCTCTGTTCTAGATGATTGATTGATTGATTTTTTTATTTTTATTTTCTTTAGGGGTCAGAATCTCACTGTCACTCAGGCTAAAGTGCAGTAGCACAATCACAGCTTGTCACAGCCTTGACCTCCTGGGCTCAAGTGATCCTTCAACCTTAGCCTCCCAAGTAGCTGGGACTCTAGGCATGTGCCACCACCCTCAGTTAATTTTTGATTTGTGTGTGTGTGTGTGTGTGCCCAGGCTGGTCTTAAACTCCTGGGCTCAAGCAATCCTGCCTCAGCCTCCCAAAGTACTGCGATTACAGGCTTGAGCCACCATGCCTGGCCCTAGGTGTTTTCAAACACACCACATTAGTGGATCTTGGCCCTGCTTGTGCCAAAAAATAATCACATGCCAGCCTTTCTTTTTTTTTTGAGTCAGAGTCTCACTCTGCCGCTCAGGCTAGAGTGCAGTGGCACGCTCACGGCCACCCCAGCATCACCTGCTAGGCTCAGGCAATCCTTCTGCCTCAGTCTTCCAAGTAGTCAAAACTACAGACATGCACTACCACGTCCGGCTAATTTTTTTATTTATTGTAGAGATGAGGTCTCAACAACTTGCCCAGGCTGGTCTCGAACCCCTGAGATCAGGCAATCCTCTCGTCTCAGTCTCCCAAAGTTCTGGGATTATAGGCTTGAACCACTGCACTCGTCCTCGCCTCACAACTTCTTAATAATAAAATTCCTGGGCTCCATCCTTAAGACCAGTAAGACTGCATTTTTAAAAAGTGTCTTATCTAATTTGCAATGAGAGAAATCCAGAATAAATTTAAATGGAGATACTCTTTCTCATTGATTAGATTGACTAAAATGGAAGTCTGCCCATGCATGCCCTTGGGCAAGGCTGAGACAGATCCTCTCTCGCGCTGTTGTAGGGATGTAAAAATGGCACAATCCCTATGGAAGGAACCCTATCAATATCGAACAAGCTTCAATAAACATTTTACCTTTTGACCAGCAATCCCACTTCTAGGTGTCTACCCCAAAGATACAATGACAGAAATGCAAAAAGACATGTGTACAAGACCATTCACAGTAGCACTACTTATCATAGAAAAATACTGGAAACTGCAGACATCCATTCACGGAGGACTGTCTGCGTAAACTATGGTGCCACTCTCCAGGGACCTCTGAAGCAGCAGTAAAACAGTGTGTGGACCCTCTGGTGTCCAACGGTGGGTGATCTCCAGCACATGGTGTGCAGGGCATGTTCTCTCCTACTGAGGACAGGAGGGGTACATATACCACACACGCATCTCCTACTAAAAAAAATACATGGAAGGATGAGCCACATACTTCAAAAAACTGGTGACCTACACGGAAGGGAGAAAGGAGGGAATACGGGTAAAGGGGCAGGGGATAGAGGCTAGAGTCCTTTGATCATGCCTTATTTTGTAGATTTGACTTTGAAACTATCAAACTATTTTACATAATCATAAAATAAAATTTAGATTTAAAAGGCAATACCCAAAACAAAAATAAAACGAAACAAACAGACACATATGTGCATAAACTATTGTAGTGGCCCCACAGAGTGATTTTAAAATTCAGTTATTTTTTGCCTGTCTAGTGTAAAGACATTGAATAGAGACCTGGTTTTTATTACTTTGTTACTGTTAGAGGCTGCCAGTGAATCAATTTTAATGTTGAAAATTGGTAAACAGGCCAGGTGTGGTGGCTCATGCTTGTAATCTCACTTTGGGAGACAGAGGCAAGAGGATTGCCTAAGCCAGGGGTTCGAGACCAGCCTGGGCAACTTGGTGAGACCTTGTCTCTACAATAAATTTTTAAAAATTTAGCTGGGTGTGGTGGTGCCTGCCCATAGTACCAACTACTTGGAAGGCTGAGGCAGAAGGATCACCTGAGCCCAGGAGGAGGCTGCAGTAGCCATGACCATGCCACTGCACTCCAGCCTGGATGACAGTGAGACTCCAATTCAAAAAAAGAAAAAAAGAAAGGTAAGTAAAATGAAAAAAAAACATTTAACCTGTCTTTCCTAATCAAACTATGCCACTAGATAACCAAATTATAGAAGAGAGGGATGTTTCTCTCCATAAAGTTTTTTTTCTCTTGTTCAGAAAAAAAAAAGACAACTAGAATATTCCTATTTTCCCAAGTCCCTATGAACAAATAGGTCCAGGTTCTGATTGTCAGCAGTTGCTAACATCCCAGAATGAAAGACAAGCAGACATGAACTAGTGCCTCCTGCTGAAAAGACTTACCATCACCTTGAAGAATGCTGGACCCAAAATGAAACACCTGAGTCTAACCAAGCCTTTGACACCAATTCAGTGGAACTACAGCAGGTAGAAGAACATGCTATAATATACTCCTGTGATGAAATCAATGAAATACAACCTATGACAAACTCTCCTGGACAAATGACTCAGGGCTTTCCACAAGTAAATGCAAAGGAAAAAAAAAAAGAGATGAGGGAAGTTTCAGATGTTAAAGAAACCTAACACACTATCACATGTGGACCTTATTTGGATCCTATTTCAAACAAACCATCATGAAAATAAAATTACATTTATGAGAAAATTGGAATATGTATACTGATGGGATGATATTTGATAATATTAAGGAAATAGTG